TTGGACAATAGAAGATTGAAATAATGTAACCTGGTCTGATGAGTCTCGACTTCTGTTGCAACATTAGGATGGTAGGGTCAGAATTTGGCATCAACAACATGAAAGCATGGATCTTTCCTGCCTTGTATTAAAGGTTCAGGCCGCTGGTGGTTTTGGTGTAATGGTGTGGGGGAGATTTTCTTGGCACACTTTGGGCCCATTAGTACCAATTGATCATCGTGTCAACACCAAAGCCTACCTGAGTATTGCTGCTGACCAACAATACTCTTCTGATGGCTACTTCCAGCAGGATAACACGCCATGTCATAAAGCGTGAATAATCTCAGACTGGTTTCTTGAACATGACAATGAGTTCACTGTACTCAAATGGCCTCCACAGTCACCAGATCTCAGTCCAATACCTTTAAGATGTGGTAAAACAGATTTGCATCATAGATGTGCAGCCGTCAAATCTGCAGCAACTGCTATCATATATCAGATTATTTTTTAGTTAATTCCACTGGAACATCTTATCCATGTTTTACACAAAAAAACAGAACATTTTTAAATTTTAGACTCCATATTTGGACTATTTGGAACCTGGTCTTTGCCCTATAATGCTGAAAGGAATATTGTAACTATCGTTATCTGAAAAACAAGCAATATTATTATCATTTTTTTTCTGATCTGTTTGATGTGGGATAGTGCTGTTTTATATGCAATCTGAGCTTCTTCTTTCTTCTCTACACTGTTTTGTGTTGTTATATATTTTTGTGTCTATCTTTTGAAGATGTTTTTTTTAATCTCTGTATTGTAGTGAAAATCCAATAAACATAATTAGAAAAAATAAATGTTTATTTAACGTGACAAATTATTCCCCTATTCACCCTATTCTCCGCCGACGAGCGGGCGCTGCCATTTGAATCTTTTTGGCTCGAGACTTCCGGTCTCATTCACTTCCATTCATTTTGTGACGTTAAAAACTGCTCGTTACGCTGCTTGGTGTTGCAATTTGATATTTTTTTTATTATATAATTCTACTTGTTCTGTATAGTCATGCAAACATTTGTTTGTAGAGCAAGCAGTTTGACCATTTTCTGCCGTTTATTATTCCTAGTCATTTCTCCGACTGATCGGAAGTTCTAAGATAATCGCGATAACAGGCGCACTTCCGCATTTCAGAATAAGGTCAATAAAGAATAGAAATAACATCACTGTGAGCAATCTTAAATACATTTTATTCATTAGCCCTTAAGATAAATACATACACCAGGTAAAATACAATAGCAGAGAATCATTCCATCTGCAGTAACAGCATTGTTCACATTTAGTAAAAGGCAGATGGAGCGCTAGCACTGAATACAGTAACAGACACAATACAAAAACACTTTCCAAAAGGAACTACAAGGAGTGCATTCTGAACTATACCAGAAATATGTATGTTGGTTTACTTGAGATTTCGGCATGATCAAATCTGTCAAGTCTGTCAATATTCATACAACAGCTGCATTATCAAATCGTGTACACGCAGATTTATTATATCTACTGCTAAAAAAGAAGATGCTTAAAGGGGCAGTTCACCCAAAAATGATTATCCTGTCATTATTTACTCATCCTGCACTTGTTCCAAACCTGTTGTAGTTTCCTTCTTCTGTTGAACATAATGTTTGGAAGAAAACAGACATGGTCTTCCTTTAGTATTTTCGGTTTTGGTAATGAACATTTTTTTCCCTAAACATTCTTCAGAATATCTCATTTTGAGTTCAACAGAAGAACTAGATTCAAAGCTTAGAACCGCTTGAGTGTGAGTAAATGAGGAAATGGTTGTTTTTGGATGAACTGTCCCTTTAAGGTGAGACACTACAACAGGGGTCACAAAACTTGTACCTGGAGGGCCGGTGTCCTGGGCTGCGTCCGAAACCGCCTACTACTCAGTAGGTACTGCATTTGAATTTAAACGTACTACTCGGCCGTTAAAAAGTACGCTCTATACAGTATGAATGTGAAAAGTATGAATGGAATTCAGACGTACTACACCCGCCATTTTGTCATGGTCACGTGACCTACCTGCGTCAGTTGCGTCGCTTCACCTCCATTCATGAATTCTCTCGCGGGGCATTATGGGATAGCACAGCGTGCATGGGATGCGCACTTCAGAATCTCGCCGGAAGTAGTAAGTCATCCGGGTATTTCTCGCCTACTGATTTTCGAATTCTATGAATTCACACATACTACTCGGCTCGCATACTATATAGTATGGAAGTATGCGGCTTCGGACGCAGCTCTGGAGATTTTAGCTCCAACCCTAATCAAACACACCTGAACAAGCTATTCTAGCACATGCTAGGTATACTTGAAACATCCTGGCAGGTGTGTTGAGGCCATAGATATATACACTACATATCGCATAGGGACCCCGAGCATGCGTCAATGGCGCCGCCATATTTGTACAGTGCTCCCAGGACAAGTGTCATTCAACCGCACTAGCCAAGACAGTGTTACTACCTGAAAATGCTGGACTTTAGCGCTGTCTACGGATGTAGTAACGAGCAAACAAAGAAAACAAAGCACAGAGGCAGAACATTACATAGGTAAGGTTTAGTTTTTACGTTTTATGTTCTGAACTTTTGTGCTACACAGGTAATGTTATTGATGATAATACTGTCTCTTACTGCATTCACCATAAGGCAAGTAGCACCAACTCACACTAAACACTCAGCTCATGCTAGTTTTGTTGAATAAAATCAGCAAACAATGCAAAAGAAATATGACAACAAGATGCTGCGGCGCCAGAAACTTGTATTATTGTCGGCTAGTGAAGGAGTCGTTCATACCTCTCAAGGTTTTTTTTCTTCACTCCCATCAGGTGAAGTTTTTTTTCCCTCTCCGCTGTCGCCACTGGCTCGCATGGTTCAGGATTGGTAGAGCTACGCATCGATGAATTTGCTCTTCAGTGTTTGAACTCTCAGTAATGATTAAATCACACTGAACTGAGCTAAACTGAACTGAACTGAACTTAAACACTAAAAAACTGAACTACACTGTTCCAGTTACTATGACCATTTATGTGAAGCTGCTTTGACACAATCTACATTGTAAAAGCGCTATACAAATAAAGCTGAATTGAATTGAATTGAATAACAGAGATTCATTCACAAATGAATCGCTCCCTCCGTCAGTATGAGAAGTAAAAGCAGGAGAGGAGGTCTGTTTCAGGACACCAATTAGATCAAATCTAACAAGGAGGGTAAATAGTACATTTCCATACACACAAACACAAGCTGTTTGTCAGGAATGCCTGTGCGATCACTGATCCATCAATGTAGAAAAGTGATATAAAATATAATTTTCGTAATTTATTTAAAAAAATTTGCATTCTGACCTCCGGGAAAACTCCCGATCATAGATATATGTGTATATGTGTAATTCTCTGGCTCTAGATGGCCACAGTCCTCCGCTGCAGCTTGGTCCTGCATTTTTTTCAAAGGAGCGCTACCCTGTACTAAAATGGCGGCTCTATTGACGCATTCCTTCCAATAGACAACAACAGGGTAGGCGACATCTAATGTATATATCTATGTGTTGAGGCAAGTTGGAGCTAAAACCTGCCGGTACATCGGCCCTCCAGGACCGAGATTGGTGACCCCTGCACTACAAGAAATAAAAAGTGTCCATTTTCTTAAAACGTGTTTTTACTCCTACATCCAACTAAAAATA